TACTACTATATATGAAAAAAAAAAAATAAACTTTTTTGTTTTGTATCACAGATTTAATAAATTTATGAGGAATGTTTATTCAATTTAAGGACTCAAACATTATAACGATGATTTTAATTCTGAATTTCAATTATTTTTAATTAGGCCATATTACGTATAAAGAAGACATACTGAATTTTTACTTTATCTAATGTCAGTCTTCAATAAACAACCTCTTTAGAAAATCGCACTAAATCATGCTATAACAACAAAAACTAAGAATTTACAATTGTAAAAGAGAAAGAGGCACCTGAGATATAAAAAATAAATAGTTAGCCATGGTAACCACATGTAAAAGAACAATGTTGTTCAGAATATTTTATAAAAAATGGTACATAATTTTCTAAACGTCCCATCAATCGACACAGCATAAGCAATAAGTTATGGCAACAAGAAATTTAAACTAATTTTAGGTAAGCATATTTATTGAGTAATTAGAGTAAAGCTTTAAATGGTAACCAATTGATTTCTTATTCATTTACAATCTGTTTATTGCCCTTTATTTTAATGATAAATTTATTTATTATTTGCCAAGTTAAAAAAACAAAAATAAAAACTTTGAGCATTTCGAACCACACATTTAAACACTTAACGATATAAATTATTTTTTTGAAAGCAAATTATGCATTTTTTTTAAAGACATTATGTATAGTGATTGTTTTGTGAATTACAAACGGATGGCTAAATCGTTGTTTTTGGTGCATTTTAATTACTAGATTTGTCTTTTTGTTTGTAGAGGAACCGAACAAAGGCCGCAGAATAACTATTCGATCATTAAAAATTGTTAGAAAGCTTTAGTAATTATTTGATTAATATACAGTTGCTTTACTTTTCTGGTGAATGTTCGTCTTCGACTTCCTGGATTACAGAATCCTCTTCAATACGTTGTTTTTGACGTAACAGTTCGTATCTTTTCTAAATAAAAAAATGCAGTATAACATTTAATTAATTATCATACTTTAATTTTATTAACTGCAGAGAGATAATTTAAATTTTATCGGTATTTTGTGTTCCAAGTCATCAATTATTTAACAAATTGTGGCGGGAATTTTATTTTTAGGGAACAAAAATAATAATTTGTGAATATTTTCATGATCTAATTTTAATCGCTTTCTTTTATTAGAATCCAATAAAAGCTAATCAAAATCAAAAGTATATCTCGTAAATAAGTTTTTTTTAATACTGCCCAGCAAATAAAAATGTGGGACATTAGATAAAATGACAGACGTGCAACACAAGTAGGAAATTACTTAAAGGAGTAACTTTATCATATTCCAAAAAGCATTTACAATAGACACTCAACATTGTGAACATGGCATAAGGAAATCCGCGCATGAATTTCAAAATTGTGTTATTGATGAATATCAAAGCGTAAAGGTTTTGAAAAAGTCTTGAACTGTTTCATTAGAGCTATAGACGGTAGTAGCCCAGTAATCGACCAACCATAAGAGAAAGTGTTTGTTACATATCAAATATAACACTAATTGACTAAATAAATTGATAATGCGAACAACTGTTGTTTCTTTTTCGGTTAATTCTATCGTCTGTCTACTGCATGTTTATTTATACTGTAAAATGACCCTTTTGTCAATTTCTGTTTAGATTTAATTTGTAACTATCAATAAAATACTGTTATTCGATTAAAATAACAAATAAAAAAATTTTCTTCAATTCAAAACTATCATAAATATAGGCAAACCTCATCACTGTCGATAATAATAATGCGATTTTCGACTTTGGGGGCGAGTTGACACGATTCGTCTTCCAAATCGTCCAATGAGGCTTTACGTACAAGTCGTGTTATTTGAGGGGACATTGATGTTTCGATCGAATTTGATCTTCGTAAAGGAGGTGGTCCGTCTAACTCACTACCTTCTAGCATCTTAACTAAACTATGTCTGTAAACGGAGCAAATGCGTTACTAAGAGAGATCCTTTGTTTATTGTTTGCATATAAAAATACCTTCTAGACAATGTTACAAGAGATTGTCGATGTTTCGAATGTCTTTTTGTTTTGCCAAGGCGCATATTAATTGCTTGGAAGTGATTCTGAACTGCCAGCGCGATAGCTGGAGATTCACCTTCCATTACCTAAAATTGATTTGTTTAAAAATCTTTTTCTTTATTAAATTTCGTCATATTTTTATCGCGACATGTATAAAACTTTACCATTACTGGAACATCTTTAAGCATAGTAAATCCATCATTTCCTTGATGCATATAACTTTTGGTACAGAGTCTGTAAAACTGTTCCATTTTCAAATATTCATCACCAATACGAACTAAATTTGGATCCACCCTTTGGCCGGGCAGTTTACGAGGATCAAATGCAAAACTTATTCCAGCCACTTGGGGAAATCTACCTTCTAACTTAGGATATTGACTCACGCTGTTTTCCAGTACTTCCAGAATTTGTTTGCCTATTTACAGTGACAAATACTAGTTTTAATTTTTGCAAGCAACAAACACACAAAATAAGAATAACGTTTTCGTAAAATATGTTTTTTACATTTTTTTAAGTGTAATTTGATTGTAGAGAAAATTTGTTGAATGGATTTGTATAATGTAAGTACCTGTCACTTTTAAAACAACTGTTGGATCTTCCATTGGAATAATTGTGAACAAGTCTCTGAGAGTCAAACTGCCAGCAGGATGAACCTGATCAGATCTAAATGTCCCGGAATTAACTATAACCAGATCCGCCCCTGTTGCTGCCAATAACACATCGCAAATCTTAAAATTAATAAATTCGGACAATATTGTTGATAAGCTTTGTATCTTCTACGTCTATACCCAATTTCCAAGATTAGATTCCGATGTTCTGATAGTAGTAAATCGGCCGTCTAAAGGTACTGTGAAACACCCCAAGACATCATTCATTTTTCCTTCTATAATACCTTTAAAAATCATAATTAAATTACTAAGACGAGAATAGATTTGTTTATTAATATATTACTTGTAAATTTTTCGAGCTTTTGTTTTAACTGAGCATCTTCTGCGTACGATGACGTTACGTTAATTTCTTCAACTGTTACATCGTTATCGCCATTAGGGTTGAAGTTGATGGTAATTTTACTGAACTGTTGAAAATCTGTTCCACTCTTAATTATGTACCGCCCATTTACTTTCATAACTTCGTAAATGTGGTCGTGGCCTCCCAAAATTAGATCGATTGAATCACAATTTTCAGCTAATTTTATATCATTAGGCATACGCATATGAGTCAACGCTATTACATAATCACAACCCTACAACATTTAGAACCCTTTGATACAGTATCAACAAAGTTTCTAAAACTTATAATATAATTAAAGGACTTGCTTGTACAATAATTATATGATACAATGAACATCATGCTATAAAAATTTTAACTATTATTTCTATTCCAGTTTCAGAATAGTATAAGTACCTCCTGTTTAAGTTGAACTGACAACTTTTGTCCAGCTTCTATAAAATCTAAATAAGTGACTTCTTCGGGATTAATTGTAGGTAATGTGTCGAGCCACTCGATTTCTACAAGACCAATAAGTCCAATTTTTTTTCCGGCCCAATCAACAGCATGAGTGATTCGCCCATCACCTAGAGGCCTTCCAGTTTCGTTATCTATTACATTCGACATGAGCCAAGGAAAATTGGACTTATTAACCCACTGAGTCAAAATTTCGAGACCATGATCTGAAAGATCTTTATGCAGAATAACAAATTAAGCACAACAAAAACATCTCACTACCAAATTCGTGATTTCCGAAAACTGAGCAATGCACACCGAGATCATTTAATACTGTTACCATTTGTTCCCCTTTTGTAAAAGTACTTACTAAAAAAGTTGACATTTTATTGGATAAAACATGAAATAATGTATAATTAATTAGTACTTACAAATACTAGGAGAAAAACAATCACCACTAAACAATTTTAGAGGATTTAAGTTTTGAAAACTGTTGAATGCTGTATAAAAGCGTGCAGCACCTCCCACCGGCTCTATATTGGGTCTCGATTCAACATTATATACATCATTGAAATGCAATATTACTAAATTTTGTGATATCATTCCAGCAGATATTGTGCTTACAGCTCTACGACCAGCAGCTTTTACTTCTAACGAAGCCTATATTAAAAATTTTCTTTATATAAATGTATTAACTACTTATGGTATTAATTAATGTTATAAAGAACACTTTAACATCAAAAATCCAACAACTTATAAATGTTAACATTTTTGTATCACTTTGGTGTCAATCAATCAAATTTATTTTGGAAATGGTAGGAGACATTACTTGATAATTTCATGTGCTTTATAAATTTTCTGGAATTTCTCCTACACTTATAAGCTCAAACAATCAGCAATTTTGATGGTCCAAAATACTATTAATGATGATTATAAGATTTCTATTCTTTCTTCATTTTATCTTTAAAGTTCAAATAATAAATAAATAAAAAATGTTAATGAAATACAGCGAATATAAACAGTTAACCAAGTAAAAAGCAGAGTAAGATTACTTTCATGTACACATATGCAAAGTAGAAGGGATGCAAAAGCTTATTGATAAAAAAAGAACATCTAATATTTTTCTCACATATAAAGTCAATAAGCAGTCAATACAGTATATGACTAAAGGTGTCAAAAACATATAGTAATGTACTTATTACTATGCTTGGAAACGAGAATTGATATACTGTTAACTAATTTCAGTAATAATGATGATAACAATAATAATAAAAAATGAATGTACATACAGAACATAATTCAAATGCAGAGACATAATTCAAAAGACCTGCTTAAGCCATCCAACTACACTGGTGACTTTATTGGTAACTTCAGATGGGACTTCAATACCATCTTCTATAAGAGAACTCCACTTCGATCGTATAGCAGCCTGAGCTGCAAAACTTGCCATATTTTTTAGGCTCTTGTATTTGACCTACATAAATACTATTTCTATAAGCTGCAATCAACTGAAGAGAGAAATGTACCTATTTTATTGTAAGGTTAGTATTAGAAGCAACTTCAATGTTACGGCTCTTAAACGATTCAAAGACAATACACTTATGTAAGTGATACTGCATTAAAAGTAGTAAATCATAAATATTTTCATTTTAGTGTATGTTAGCAGAAATCCTATTAATTTGCATAATAAAAATTTCATTACTTCAAACACCACCCTGGAATCTGTTAAATTACTACCTGCATATATTCGTTTAACACTGCTTATCTGACACTCTTTCTTATTTTTATAATCAAGTATTTATTAACAATAATAACACCAAATATCAAACCCTAAGGTTATTATAATTATGTAGGTCATACATGTCAAAGAAATTTGAGTGTAAGGTTATCTTCGTTAAATTGTATACTTATTCTTTTTGTTCTTTTCGAGTAGTAATGTCTACAATTGAGCTATACTGTATGCGTTATATTGTGAAAAAAATAATTATAGTAATGCTACAAACAAAATGAATTACTTTCACAACAGCATTTAACTAAAATTTTAAGGACATGTCTTTAACTATTCATTTATATGTTTTAAAATACAGCGATGCAAACTTAACAAATAAGTAAAGCAATGGCTCTATGGACAATAAGTTTTACAGGTATGTGGCAGCACTGGAGACAGAATACAGAAGAACAACAAATGACAATAAATATTTAATAAGTGCAAAGAATGCAACGTGGTAGTTATTTCTAATTACGATATTTGATTAATTGGAATTGTAAACTTTTAATTTAAATTAAGAGAAAAATGGTTCTTTTAGAAAACGATGCGGTAGGTTTTATTTTACAATTATAACTAAATGCAGGTTAAGTTAATTTTTAACTAGTAAGAATAGAATATGCTGAAACTGTATACAACTCTAAAAGGCTTGTACCTACATCCTGAATTTTCTTGTTTTAGTTTCTTTCAGAACTCACCAAGCTATTTCAAAAAGCAAGATTAACAGCTAGTGTAACAATTACTTTTAAGAGGTGTAAGTTGTTAAAGGCTATTGGGCCCAGGATGTTAGATATGATGTGAAAGTAGAAATGTACATTGTTTTAGACGATGGACGTACCAAACCTAAACCTAGAGAGGGCAAGCCACCTTTGCCAGAATCCCAGGAACATTTATGCTTAATTCGTGCAAAATCAAGAAACAAAAAAATAGCAACAGTGGTTCATCAGAAAGATATCAATAAATTTCAATTAGCATACAGTAGTTTATTAAAAGGAAACCTTGATGGACTTAAAAAGTTAAAGAAAACAAAGACTAAAGCAAAAGCCGATTAGCATTATAAGACTTAGATCATCATGTTATATATATGAAATTATTTTGTATTTAACTTTTGTAGTATTTTATTTTTATTTATCAAACACATTTCTTATAAATAAAACAGTAGTTTTGTATACTTTCAATTTTCTGATTACAAAAAAGGAATCATAAATTTATTATGAAAAAATAATGTATTTGTAAATATAAAAATTTGTTTTAATAAATTGGGTAAATTTGAAACTTAGTTTTATATTTTTTGTATTTCCTTTTCATGTTTAATAATAAAACAGTTTTACTTTATCCGGCAATAGTACTTTATAAAGTGACAAATTCTAAGTGTTCGTTAATATCATTTTTCATATTCCATTAAACACAAATCACTTTTTTGCAAATTTTTGGGCGACAATTTAAGCCCAAACGAAGCGATGGTAAAAGTACAGATAACTTTGAAATTGAATGAAAAATTAAAGTTTAATGCGACTTTAAATTTGTTATTTACTGTGAGCTATAAAATCATTCAATCAAAAATTCAATTGGAGTGCCTATTATGGAACTTAAATGAATACAACACTAAAAACCTAAAAAAAAAATTTAAATCGTTTACAAACCTAAAACGTGTTTGTAGGAGTGTTATTGTTTTATTTATGATTAATTTTGTAATATTTTAATTGAGTTAATTGGCCTATTGTTATATTTCCATTTCCATTTATTAGTTAATTAGCACGCCAATATCTGGAGTCAAAAATTAAATCGCTTTATAAAATGAATTTAT